TTGAAGATAAAATCTTATTGGAATGATTGGTGTGACCTTCATTATGAGAGATATGTAAAATTCTATCAGGGTTGTACGATGGCTGCTTCTTTAAGGACATTAATGTGCCACATGCTAGTTACATCGGATTGATGCCTAAGATGTGACGCTTTGGTAAAGCAAATAAAGCCACGTGTTACCTCATCCAATGGACATCACTTCATTTGTAACACTATAAATTTCCCTTGTATCATTTTGAAGGCTAATGTAATTGTAAACACTTGAAGCTATAGCTCATCTTTTCTCTTGTTCTATCATCCTTGGAATGTTTTAAGCTGGGACTCCAAGTACCCGGCTTGATCCTTCAGGCCAGCATTTTCCAAGTTGGTCTTCTTGAAAGCTTCGGCTGGAAGCTTCTGATGATTATTAGAAGTTTCCACCTTCCTAGTATGAGAAACAACTTCGCACTAAGACTCGTGAACCTCTTTCTTCAAAGCTTCATTATCAACTAAGGCAAAATCAACTTGGCTACCACTTCAGCACGCTGAGCTTTTAGTTCTTCTGCTTAGACCCTCACCTTTTTGGTCTCTTCTTCAGCTTGTGCCAATTTTTCAACTGATTCCCGGTTGTACATTTGAATGTCCTTCAGAACCACTTGACATTCGAGGGTGACCCCAAAAGCCTTGACACTTTGGCTTACTAGGGTTGCCATGAGATCCACAGCATCGCATGTGGTTATATAATTTTCCACTATTTGTCCAAAATTGGTACAAATTTACAGTTGCTGCTTAAACCTTCGATGATATTATATCCAGAATCGCTGGGGCAATCTCCTCATCTTGCTCATCCAAAAACCTCCTTGATTTTCCAGGGGTCCTCACCATACGCATTTTCCTAATTGCCTCAGAGGTCTGCTCCTCACTAGCCTTTCTATCCCTCTGAACCTTTGCATCTAAAAAAGAGGACTACATCGCTTAGCAGGTGGTGGGGGTGGAGGCAACTGAGCCACTCAAGCAACTTATGTGCCAAACTTCTCAAGAAAAGAGCGATAGTATAGGAGATCTTCGTCTTTTTCTGAAGCTCCTCCCTCATCTTTCCTTTCCCCATCTCTTGGAACACATCTTCATCACTTTTCTCAGCATGCTTTTTGCTGAGGCACTCAAGCCTCCCCCTAATACGCTTGGCACCACCGGAGTATTAAAGTTTCCTTCTAATATCCTTTGCAAAAGACAGTAACAACTATTCATTTTACTAGTATGAAAGGGACGAAAACTAAAGAACTTCAACATTTACCTTTGGAAGCCATAGTCCAAAGTCCAGGAAGAATTTTTTACGATCGATGAGGAGGTCAAAGTGGCGTGATCTTTGAGGGCGTCTGTAAATGTCCTCAACGATGTCCTACTCAGCTTGGGACAGTTTAAACCGATATCTTGAGCAACAAAAAACATCAGTTAACAGTTAATGAAATGAAAGAACAAGTTTGAAGGATAGCTACTCACGGGCTTCAAAATACTGGGTTGGCACAGTTGCAGTTGGGACTTATCCCCCTCGGTGATCTGCCATATATCCCTCACCCAGAACTCCTTCCACCCTTTGATAGAAGAAGGTAGGCCCACTACAAAAGAGGCATGGGCTCCCAAAGGGTAATGTAATACCATCCTTTCGACTTTTCCTTCCCAAGTATGCGGGGTTTGAAAATTGTCTGGAAGACGTGCAGTGGCATGTCTTTCACCCATTTAGGTCTCTCTCCAAAGGAAGCAAACCCCTGCTAGCTGGCTCCACCCGTTTGGCAAAAACTGGGTTAGAGCTAACACGTAGGTCCTTAGCACCGCCCTAAAAAAGGGGCGTAGAGGTAGAAGCATACCTGCCTTGAACAAGTATTCATTGACGCCACACAACTCGGCCTTGGATAGAAGGGATGTTCGTGAGCCTCGGGTACTAAGAGTTTTATTGTATCTGGGATCTTATATTTTACCCTAATTAAGCCAACTTCTCAAGGGTCACAATAGAAGCAATTTTCGAAGCCTCCCCACCCTGCTTCATAATTAATATGACCCTCACTCATGACTCTCAAACCACTACCTGACCCATCTGAACCAGAAGCCATGGAAACAAAAAAAGCAAGAAAACGATGATGGAAAAAAGCAAACAAGTTACCTAATGAGAACGAACGAAAAAGCAATAAGATCACTGGTTGTCGAAAAAAAAATGATGGCCGGAGAGTTATGCTTGAGAGGATTCAAATTTCGCAAAAGTTAAAAACATGAAAATAGCAAGGTTTTGGCTTTTATAGGCAAAGCCAACTAAGTACAGTCATTAGATCTAGATCCATTCAATCCGAAGCATTGTATTTAAGTTAACCTATCTTTTAATGTCATGTAGTTACCATCTAGATTGGTATTTGAAATAGCGGTGTTAAATAGCATTATTTAACGATTTTTGAGCAATGTCAATCAAGCACTAAGATTCATACCATCTAACAAGGACAAGATACATCTAACCTCCACACTTCAAACATTGCCAGATCCAGTACTATCATAAATGGAACTATTCATGAAGGTAGTAAACATAAGGTTCCGGAAACTAACGCGCTCGGAAATCAACAGCTCGGAATAACATAACAAACAGATATGTCTGTATCCTTAATTGATGCAAAACTTCATAACAACCAAATATATATCCCGATACAAGTCTGTAGATCACAACACAAGAAGGTCGCGTAATACTAGTAACAAACTGTATGCCTAGAACATGTAATGCCGGCTTTATTTCAATCTCTCGACTTTAGTAATAAAAAGAGCAAGTACAGAGCTTGTAATATTAGCACCCAGAGAAAAGGTGTTTTCATGCTGCAGCTTTCCAAGTTGACAAGGGAGGAGTGTCTGAATTTTCCCATGTACTTAAACCAGATCCATATCTATCACCCTTGACTCGATCAGCAGAAGCAATGTATTCGAGCTCTGCCATTTCTTCTTTTGTCAGTTTTACAGACAATGCCCCAACGTTCTGCTCAAAATTCTTGATTTTCGTGGTACCAGGTATGGGACACACATCGGCACCTTGATGATGGACCCAAGCCAAAGCTAGCTGTGAAGGGGTGCATCCCTTTCTACTTGCCATATCACTGACTCTCTCAAACAAGCTCTTATTGTGCTCTAGATTCTCGGGTTGGAATCTCGGTAGATACTACAAAACATTAAGCACATGCTTCAAAATCGAAACCTTAACCAAACAACATGAAGAGATTTAGAATATGAACATTAATGTTGATAACCAGACATTATCCAGTTGGCAAAAATGAGTTATTTATACCAAGAAAATGGCATCAAATTGGTCATTTCTCAACAGTTCCATTTTGGAAAGGAAAAATCTCAAGGTAATGTCATTTTAACACTTCTAAAAGGCATATATTTCATATTTCTTCTTCCAAGGAAAATAACTGCATATTTTGACATGGAATCTGCTATAATTCAGAAATTTACAAAGATATTCAATTGCTAAATAACCTGTTGATGAAACAGATTTTGTTTCGAGCAATAGCCCTGTAGAAGATGACTGTTTTCTTATATAAATCAGGAAGAAAAAAAAAAGGAAAAAATTCTGAGGAGTTTCGCTAACTGGAATACAAAATTTTCCAAGTACACATGTAGTTTAAAGAAAGCAAGAAGGTAAAAATAGATTCCTCCTAGTTGGGCCAAGGAAGCGAACACCTACAATGATCATGTGACTAGTTAGATATTTGAAAGTAATCTAGAAGTTCCTTAAGATGTATGAATTAAATTGCAAAGAGGTGAAAATATGCAGGGCAAATACGCAAAGTACTTTGTATTTGAAGTTGATACTCAATAGGTAAGTATAAATAAACCTTGCGGAAGTCTGCTTCACCGAAAGTTTCAACCAATTTTGGGCCAGAGGCAAAGAATCCTCGTCCAAGAGGACTGTAAGCTACTATTCCGATACCAAGTTCTCTGAAACAATTGCACCAAAGGATAGAGTTAGAACTTTGAGTATTCAGTAAACAGTACTGGCTAGGAATGACTATTAAATAAACAAGACTTCAGTTTATTTTCTTCCTTACTACTGTCTAATATTATTTAACCGTCGTTACTAAACACGCAATATACCACTATTATCAATTTATAAAAACTGTTATAGTAATCAATAAACCTGCAAGTAGGAATTATTTCTGCCTCCACATCTCTAGACCACAAAGACCACTCCAACTGCACAGCAGTTATTGGATGAACAGAATGTGCTCTTCTGATTGTTGCAGCTGAGGCCTCTGATAGACCAATATATTTTATCTTACCTTCTTCCACCAGTTTCTTGAGTTCTTCGATCTTACATAAAGAGAGATTCAAAGTAATAAGGAGGTGCGTGAGTAAAACACGAGAAATTAATCAAAAGATACAAAGAAGACATATGACCAACTATCCACGTGAAATCAAATCGTATTTTTACAAATGGCAACAAAATAGTTTGTCATCTACCAAACGACAGTGAGACAATTAGGTAAACAAATGCAAAAGAGTTACTATTTTTTTCTACAGAAAAATCAAACACCCAATAGCTTTATGCATGAGTACTGCATATCAACACGTGTTTTATTTCTACTGCTGTCTACAAACCAACAACACGATCCTCAAAAATTCCAGTTTAACAACCAGAGGAGCGACAAAGTTGAGAACCATACAGTCATCAAAGTTGACAGACCAGTAAAAATCTGCCACCTTTCATTTGTCTAGCTTGAAAGAATTTGAAAAAGTTCTGGTTAGTTGTATAAATATATTGTTCTTTGACCTGTTCCCTCAATGAGAGCACTCAAGTATTTGGCAGAAAAACAGTTGGTGGGAACAGGGTGGTAACAAGGATCTGGTTTTGAACCATCAGTGAAACAATTGTTAAACCACTTGAGTTAAAAACTTAGCTGTTAGAGAGGGCCACATGCATCTCATTTAAATCTTGTCCTCAGTAGAAATAAATAAACATGGATCTATGATAAATGTCAAAATATTAGTTTTATTCACATTAGTTGAGTGTTAATGTTGTAAAGCGAGGTGAAGCACCAGAGCCAGTTTATAGACATTCACATAAACTCAGAGGAACCAGTTTGTTGATAATCCGAGTAACAAAATACGTTTTTCAGTACTGTCGTCTGTGTGTGCTCATAACGGGGGCAAATTTAGCAAAGTTTACTTAAAAGGACAAAAGTGATTAGGTCTACCATGACCTGCCCCAAAATATCAAAACCATTTCTTTTAGCCTCTTCTTATTGTAAAGCATAGAAGATGAGGTAACAATTCTCAAGAATGCAGCATTTTGTTGAACATGTTATACATGATAATCATATCACTGATTAAAGCAGCCTATGAACACAAAAATTCTAGGTAGAAAATTTGGTAAGTACATCTGTCACATGAAGCTTTAGGGTTAGAAACAATTCGAGATATTAGAGTAGCTTGGTCTGAGCTTGATTGGGAACCATGAAGTATTAGTTAAGATGCCAAACAACTAGAATTCAACTCATAATCAGCTAGATAAATGCTCATGCAACTTACATTAATTTTTTCTCTCTCTTCATCTCAACCATCCATTCATCAAATAAAATAATAATACACACAAATCTAAAACTTTTAAACCACACATCTCCCATCAATCACTATTCTAAAAATTTTCAACCCCCTTAAAATCCCAAATAATGGGGGCCAAACAGGGGCTAAATAACAAAAATCCCTACCAAACACACTCTAAATTTAGCCCCTGTTTGGCCCCCATTATATTACATTCCATTACATTAATTTTTTCTCTCTCTTCATCTCAACCATACATTCATCAAATAAAATAATAATACACACAAATCAAAAACTTTTCAACCACACATCTCCCATCAATCACTATTCTAAAAATTATCTACCCCCCAAAAATTTAAATTAATGGGGGGCAAACAGGGGCTAAGAAATCAATCGAAGATTTGGAAACCTCCATCTTGGCTCAGTTCATTGCTAAGCTAGTTGAAGCCCAACACATATTGATAACACCATGTGCTTGTAAACTTTGTAAAACTAAACTACGAGTTATATAAAAACAAACAAAGGGGAATAGATGGCTAACCGTGACTTCAATGGGCAATCGTGCATCAATGCGATGTTGATAATAGAGATCAATGCAATCTATATCAAGCCGCTTCAAGCTGGCCTCACAGGCAGCCCGCACATAAGCTGGGTCACCACATATCTCTCTCTTCCCATCAGAAAAGTTAATCCCAAATTTTGTAGCCAACTCGACGTTCTCCCTCATCCCATCCTTCAAAGCCTATGAGAGACCCAAAATTCCATACCAAACAATATATAAACATTATAAAGCATTCATATATTAAACATCCACCTCTAAAAGGAGAGAAAGAAAGGCAATAAATAACCAAGCCAGAGTAAGGTTTAACTTTTAAAACTAGTGTCTAGGAAGAACTACTAATAATGTAGGGTGCAAATAATGCTTTAAAAAATTTTAACTTCTCCAGCTAAATATAAATTACTTTGATGGGATATGCTCCAATTAATGTAAAAATCCCAAAAGGGAAAAAATGAAATCAAAACAGACAATGCAATGGCACACAAGTTCCATTTGGCCAACTATAGGTAAAACAATTAAAGCAAAAGGTACAACACATTAAATCTATTTCAGTGTTGAGAAAAAGGTCGACATAATACCCCTTGGCATTTTATCATTAAACTATTTAAATCACAGTCAACTTTCACGTCAATTTCAATAACTGCTGCTACCTACACTTATGTCCTCGACACGATAGAGACTAACACGGGAATCTACCAATACTAAAGGCGGATCGATAGGCTGAAGCTATTGTAGCATCTCAAGCTTATCTTTCTTTTGCACCCACCTACCCATTAAACTATTTAAATGGCAGTCAACTTTCACGTCAAATTCAATCAACTGCTACTACCTACACTTCTGTCAAAATTCTTATGGTAAAGTGGCATAATCCATAATATTATACACTTGTCTTATGTAGATGTACACATAGTTGAAAAATCCAGCTCAAAATTGCAAGCTCGTGCAGCCCGGGATACAACTGGGGTTAGGTGGGTGCGTAATGGGATTTCGAAGTAGGGGAAAGTAAGTACCTTTCCGAGGAGGATTTCGTTGGTGTGCGGTCCATATACGTCGGAGGTGTCAAGGAAGGTGATGCCGGAGTTAATGGCATGGTGAATGAGCTTGATCATGTCGGGTTCGGGCTTGGGCGGGCCGTAAAATGCCGACATGCCCATGCATCCCAATCCCTGAGCAGACACTTCCAGTCCTTGTGAACCCAGATTCATTCTGGCCACTTTTACACTGCTCTCTGCTGCCATTTTTCTGGATTCAATCTGTATAGTAACTCTAAGATGATGGAATTGATCAACGGAGACAATTTATAAGAGAGGAGAGAAAAAAGACGATAAGAGAGGCGGAGAAGACGGTGGTGGTCGGTTGAGGTTTGTCTCCTTCTTTTTCTTTTTATTTCTCTCTTTTTTTGGGGGATTTATTAATTGCAGTTGAGGTCCTTGACCTATTAAAGGTGATTATTTTGGCACCACATTTTTTAATACATTCACTAATATTTTGATTTGCATTAAGGTCCTCAATCTTTAAGGAATTCACTGTACATTTTCTAATAACATTTTTATATTTAACCTTTCAGCTTGTCCTTAATGACAATTCTTCCTAAAATTTTGTTATATATTTTAAAATGAGAGACAAATATTTAATCAAGATTTTATATTTTATTTTTTGTTTCCACTTATGACGCAACGTGAAACAAAAAATTCAAGTGAAAATCTTAAAATACAAATCCAGAATCTACCAGGAAATGAAAATTAAACTCATGAAATTTTATTAATTTTAAGATGATGAAAAACTGAGAATTAATCCTTTATTTATATGGATTTACATGAAAATCTAACCTAAAAGAACTAAAATCCTTAATCACAACAAAGTGGTTTGTTGAGTTCGTGTCATTGTTCTCTTTTCAAAAACGTATTATGGGTCCAAACGTATTATTGTTTTACCCTTTTCAGTTCAATTGTTCATCAATCTGATCGATCATCTATTCTACATCTACTTATTTAAAAGTATGAGGGATAAAGAAGTTTTTTTTAATTCCATATTAATAAAAAAAAAAACTTTATCAGAAAGAAGTTGACATTCTTATTGACTTATACTCATATGGGAGTGGGGCTTATGTAAATAAAAAAGACCAAGAAAATTCTTCCCTCCCCTCTATTGTGAGTACGCTCTTAACCCTTCTTGACAACATAATAGAATTGTAACAGAATATCTGACATAAAGAGTCATTAGTGAAAACATGAACTAATTATTAAAATGTTGATGATAAAAATGCAATGATAAATTTAGAGACATGAATACGACAATAAATAAAGATTATGAACCTCTCATATAATTAAAATATCGTGCATATATACGATACATCTAGACCCGGCAAGTTTGCACTTTTAAAATGAACCAAAATTAACGCAATTGAGAGCAGAGAACTCATGGCCGTGGAAACGACGGGTCCTATTTTTACGTCTTTTAATTTAATTATGTTAACCCTGCTTAATTTTGTAATTGTCTTGTTATGGTGTTAATAAGACTACAAGTTCCTTAGATTATTGAGTTAAATTTATTTCATCTTCTTTGATATTTGATAATTTGACAGTTAATTAATTTTCTTTAATTCCTCGTTCTCTCTTTATTTCCTTTAGAATCTTGTTTCTGCATCTAATGTTACTGTGTACATCGCCCTAAGCCTCAATTTAAATTTCTTCATGGCGAAGATGAACCACCAAACCAAGGCGAACCCCAAAACACGACGGAGAACAAGCCCTGAATGATAATATGGTGGTGCCACATCGACTATTTGGTATTCAAAATTATCTTTCTCATTGAGATCCTCGTAATGTGGGCTACCCTCAATGCAACCATCTCTGTCCTCGACTTCTACACCCACAATATGGCCTTTGTGAGATATGCTTCAAATAGCAAAGGATATATAGGTTACTTGACTTAGAATTCAATGCTATTATAGAATTCAGGGACGTTGAGTTCTTTGAGAATTTGCACAATAAAATTCTCGAACTCCCATAGAAATTGAAGAGATTTTGGTTTCTAGATAACTACGAGAAAAGTAATCAAGTGAACTTCAAAGAAATTAGAGACTCCATAAAGAAAATATATTAGAACAAAATGAGATTTGTTTTCATCAGATTACCCTCATGGGAACACTTGGAAGATCATCAAGTGATCCTATAATCTAAAAGGAGGCTATGATTTCTAGAGAGAGAACTTTTTGAAAAGATGCTATAAATGGTGAAATGGATTCTATAATACAACACCTAGGGATCGATCCAAACCTTTAAAGGTAGGTAAGTGACTAAGTGGTATCCACAAGAGAAGTGAATGGATTATTTTTACGCTTATGCATCCATAGCTAGAATAACTTCTATTAGGATCTTAGTTGCCTTAGGTTCCATTTAATATTTGTGTGTTCATCACATGAATGTTAAAATGGTTTGAATCTCGATCATAATAAGGACATCGTTATCTACAATCTAATTGTCAAGTTTTGATTTTTCTAATAAAAAAATATATTCTACGCCCTTTCCATTTTGTGTCATTTTCATCTACGAATTTGTACCATTTTCTGCATCTATTTTTCGTGTCCCAATACAAAACATATAGAGAGGTCATGGGAGTTAATGAAGGTTGACGAAGTTAAGGGTTTTAATTATAATTAAAACCACTCCCTCCAATCCTCATTTTTAATTTTTGTGGATCAGTCTCCTGTTGTGATTCTTCTCCGATCACCAAAAAAATGAGTTATAAGAGGAAAAACTATTCTATTTCTTACTAGAATAGAATTTTACAAGAGAATTTACAAACTCTTATAAAAAAACCTCTCAAACTCTCTCTACTATCTCTATTGCTTTCCTCACTTGGGTGTGTCAAAACAAATGAGCTAAAGCTCTATTTATAGCCACTGGGAGATGAGATTTTCAACAAGTCTCAATTAATTTGGGTGGTTGGTTGCTAAGAGAATGGTGGTTGGCTG